TTAAGTAACAATGCGCGCAAAAAGCAGGCAACCTTCTATTGTTCTGCGGCAATTGCAACTTCCCCACATACAAATGTCTTGGTTTTCACACTGATTATGTATCAACCTATGGGTAACACACTTTTAAAATAAAATGTGGATAAACTCTGTTTTGAAACAAAGTTTCTTTTGTATTAAAAGATCTTGTCCAATCAYAAGCSCTCAAAACAATAGCCAAAAGATGCTTCTAATTTGCTATGTTCCCCACATAGAATTGCTATTAATATTAAAGCTAAGGAAAGCTTTTATGAAGTCGGAATCAGATATTAAATAAAATATTAAAAAATGCGATTACTTTTGAAATTATGTCAGATTTTAATGTTTTAACCAATGAGATGGCTKGAWTATRCAATACAAAATTAGCACCTTCATGCATTCCATTGCCGTTTGCTTGCCTGCTTCTTACTCGGACCATTACTTAAGTTATGCTAAATTGTTCGGAATCATGCTAATTCTTTTGTATTGTCTAATCTACATTTGGTGGGTTAGTTTTTATACTCTACAAGCGTGAAAAAGTACTAAAGTGAGGTCCTTAAACCCGTGAAACACAAAATAACTGTTAAACTGTGGTAGTCAATTTAACACAAAATAGAACAATRCAATTATTGCATACTAAAGATGTATAATTCCATTATGTATTTCAAAGGTTTATGAACTTCACTCTAAGGGTGAGTTCATTAACCCGTGAAACAAAATCTAACTCGTTAAAGTGTGATAGTCAAATAGACACAAAAGAAAACAATGCAATTAGAGTTGTAGAGTGATCGCACTTCAACCGCGCAACTGTACAAACTAAATAGTGCTATTTTAAAAGCTGTATATAGTAAATTGTGCATGCGGTACGCAAATTGAATTGAATAGACCTAATCGGCTTCAAGCCAATTCAAACCACCCGGGAGTAAGTTTCATTGTTCGTTGTATTTTCATTTCACAGTTGAATTCCTAGAAACAAAAGTTCTTTTTTGAATTGGGTGGCAACGTACATAGCAACGCCCACTGGAAGAAATCGCGCGCTTTAAAGGTTTTAAATTTGATGTAAATATGATGTAAGTGTCCAAAATGATGTAAATTTGATGTAAATCATTTCCATCAAATTTACATCATTTTGGACACTTTCATCATATTTACATCAAATTTACAACCTTTATGGCGCGCGATTATTTCCAGTGGCCGTTAGCCGATTAGGTCTATTGATACAAATGAAGCATTCAATACCGTCTTGCTTAAGGTCCAATTCTTGTACAAATTAGTACTAGTATATCTTATTATATTTATTATAGTTTTTATATTACTGTACATACATTTCTACATCATATATATTTATATTTTTGTAAATTATTGCGGAAGAGCCCTACGGGAGCAGTAATAAAGTTTATTATTATTATTTATTATTACTACTTAGATTTTGTACATGCAGTTGCACGATCGCTCTACTATGGTGTAATATTCGAATATCAATTTGACTTCATTCTAACCAAATAGTCTTAAATAGGGCAATATAGCGTAGATTAGACAATAGAACCGAACCGGCGGTAGGTTCCAATCACAGGACGTGTTGGGCACTTTAGTAAAATCTCGGTTCCGTTAAACTATTTATATCTCACTGCTTTCTTATGTAGTCACCATCTTTCTCGCTGTGATCAAGACCGGAGTGCGGATCARGAGCTTGAAGTACCAA